CTCTCTGAATTTGGTTCGTAATTCGGCCATTGCCCTTGTCTAATTCTGTGCTTTTCCAAGGTGTCCTTGGGACTGAGGCGAGGACCCCGTTTTCGCCCCAGCGGTTCAGTCCGCCGCCCAAAATCCTCGGCCACACCCCCTTTACTCTGATTGGCGTTCTCACGGGTACGAGACGGCATGGGGTGTGAGGGAGCGCATCCTAAGTTCTTCTTCACTCCCAACGTATAAACCCAGCAAGTTCCATTCTTCCCCGACGTTTGTCCACTTCAGGGTCAACGCCTGATCATAACACTGCTCGAAAGTCCACATAATCATTTACGCCTGTTTATTTGTTTCCGGTCTTTCGCTGTAGTATGCAACAAACAAGGAAGCATCATCCACAAAACCCAAACCTGCTGCAGAACTAAGGGTAGGACCCCTGTGGCATACTGCGTTGCCACACGGGCCTGCAGGGCCCGTCCCGCATTTCCAGCCTAAAAGCCTAGAAATAAGGGCTTACAGGCCCCTGTCGTTTCAGCCTGAAAGACTGAAAAACGAGGGCCTGCAGGCCCTATGTCGTTTCAGCCTAAAACAGGGCTTTTCAGCCCTGAGGCTTTTCAGCCTGAAACGGAGGGCCACTTTCGGGCCCTCATAAGATCAACCTACCCTAAGACTCAGGCACAAAAACAGGGTTTCGGGAACAGGCTATCTTTAGCCTGTTCCCACGACAGCCTCAAGCAGGAGCTGCAGCGGCAGCCCCTGACTCCCTGCGGCATTGGCAAGAGCAGCCTCCTGGACTGCCTCGCCCTGCAGTCAGGAGGCAGGCCGAGAAGCACATAGGGAGTTCCCATGCACTTCACGGGTAGGTAGTTGGACAGTAGGCACGAGTAGTCTTCAGGATTCGGCCGCAGCACTCAGGAGGAGCGCTGCAGTAGTCTTCAGCGCTAGCAGTAGTCTTCAGCGCTGGGCGCTAATAGCTGTAGGAGTAGTCTTCAGCGCAGTGCGCTACCGTCTTCCCCCGAATACAACGTACGGTCATTATAGCTGTATCTAGCCTGAAAGATGGCTCGAATGCAGCTATATTGACCGTACGTTGTATTCGGGGGAAGAAGGTAGTAGCTGGTAGTGGTAGTGTTGGAGAGAGATGGCTGGCGGAGGCCAGCGGTACTTACCTGTGGCGCCATAGCTCCAGCTCCATCTTCGAGGCACCTGCATCAAGGCGCCATCTTCACAGGTTAGTACTGCACACAGAGAGAGAGAGAGAGAGAGAGAGAGAGAGAGAGAGAGAGAGTTCTTCTTCTTCCTCTTCTCAGTCCACCATCTCTTCTTACCCTCTCACCACCTGACTTCTCAGTATCAGCAGACTACGACAGAGAGAGAGAGAGAGTTGTGACTTGAGACTTGACGACATTGGATCCAGACTCGACATTGGGATTCAGACATTTTGACGAGGGATTATTTGGGCCTGTGCCGAAGACTTGGTGTTGACGACATTCCCATCTTCCCTTCTTCTTCGTCTAACCCCCCTCTTCTTCGTCTGTGTATGGTTGGGGCTGGCGCATTCTTCCTGTGTGAGCACCAGACCCCTTCACACCATGGAATGATGAGGATGATGTATTTTCTGGGCTGCATTGCAATATTGATTGTTCGGATCACTGGTATCTAAGTCTTCCGCTACGCTATCTTGTACTTTGTATTGAGAGGTCGGTTCTTGTTCTAGTCTGCACAGTTACAGTATGCAACAGTTTGGTATCGGAGCGGACCTCTCATTCAGAGGACCCGCTCAATCAAGTAGCAAGCTTGTTTGATCTATTGATCTCATTAGTAAATCAAGTAGGACTTCGTCAAATCTCTGAATTTTTTTTTTCTTTCTTTCTCATATATCTGAAAATTCGTGATAATAGCATTTCGTTTTATCTGAAATTTTCTGATAATCGCATTTCGCTTTACCTGAAAATTTCTGATATTAGTATTTCGTTTTCACGTAACAAATATCTGAAAATTTCTGAAAATCGCATTTCTTTTTATCTGAAATTCCTGATAATAGCATTACGTTCTACCTGAAAATTCCAATATTTGCATTTCGTTTTCATGCAACAAATATCCGAAATTTTTCTGAAAGCAGCATTTCGTTTTCTGATATTTTGCATACATAAGCCGAAAATTTCTGATATGAGCATTTCGTTTTCTAGGCCTATTAGGATAACGATAGAGGACAAAAAAGGAAACAAAGAAATGCTGCGCTCGCGCCGGCCGGTTAGCGCAAAGCAGCGCTAATTTTTCCGAGCCATGTCCGTAGCCCATCTGAGCACGTGAACGCGCCCGCAACTTCGACCATCGCCTCTGCCCCCTCCACACCGCCGAGTCGGCTACGCACACCTCCAAACCACGGAGACGGCAATGAGCATTGCCCAAGCCATAGCCGGTCTAGTCCGACAGAGAAGTCCCGTGCGTGCGCGCCCGGCGCACGCGCACTGAGGCTCTACGTCACCGAACGAACGAAGGAACCGGTGAAAGGAACTTCATCGCCTTCACTCGGACGTCACTCGACGGGACTTGTCAAACCGTCACCGTCTTCGAAGCTGCCACTCGTCAAGGTGTCACGAGGATTCCAGCGATGTCATTGGAGTAAACAAGCAATCAAGTCGAAGCCTTCATGTGAGATCGGACCTTAATACAACCTTCCTATCTAACAGTCTCGACTCCCATCCCTCACCTCCCAGCCTTCCCCCAAATCTCATCTCATTCTCCCCAACTCTCTCCCATCCCCAACACGGCCTTACTCACTACATCCTCCATCCTAATACAACCCTTCCTCCTCTCCACGAGATTCGTTCGACTCAATCAACCCGGAATCGCCATCGTCCGTATGTGGAACCTCCACCTCCGCCCCCCCCCCCCCCCCCCCCCATTTCCTACTATCCCCACGCTACCTTGGCCCCCTTTGAACCCATACACAGCCAGCGTTGATCCGCGTCTAATCCCACCCTGGAGCCATATTGATCCCAGCCCGTCTCGCTGCTGTTGTCATCCAGTTCCCCCACCCCCAGTTTAATCGTCCACCTGGTCCCAGCACAAACCCGACTCGGTCTGCTATCACGGCGTCCGCGATCCCGATCCCCCAGTACTCCACCCCGATCGACCCCCCTCCCCCACTGTCCCGATCTCGCTCCATCCCGATCCTGCTCCGGTCCCGTTCAATCCCCGTCCTGATCTCGTCCCGCTCCACCCCATCCGGGTCCTCATCAGGGTCCTCTCCTGATCCGGGTCTGTCACGCCCCCAGCCCGTTCCCGATCCCTTCCCATCTTAATCCACTCTCGGCTCGATCCCGAACCCCTCCCCTTTCCGATCCGTCTTATCCCCACCCCGACCCTGCTTCATCCCCCTCCCTCTCCTAGATTCCATAGGACTCCCAACCCGTCCCACTCCAATCCCATTCCGCTCCTGTTCTCACTCCGATCCCCTTCGGGGCTCCTCCCACTCCCGATCCAGTTCTCGTTCGCCTCTTCCCTAGCCCCCACTCCGATCCCCTCTGGTGCTCCGTTCACCCCCGATCCCATTCTCGTTCATTTTCATCCCTACCCCACGTAACCCCCACTTCGATCCGATTCCGCCCTCAGTCAGATCCCACATAACTCCACCCGATCCCAGGCCGACCCCACTCCCCCCCCCGCTTGATCATTCCCGATCCTAGCGCTACCTCCCCTCTCATCCCGCTCTACCCACCTCCCATCCCGACCCCGGTTCCTCCGTGATCCCACCCCGACTCTATCCCGATCCCAGCAAGATCCCAACATGATCCGTTTCCGTTCCTACCTGGGGTTTCCCCCGACCCCATCCCGTCCCTACCGACCCCCTCCCCCTACTGTCCCCCCCCTTGGCCGGCCCTCCGCGCCCCCTTCTCCACTACCAATCACCCCGTTACCTCGTCATCTCCTCTCCGTAGATTTCTTGGTTCGGACCCCATCCCGCAGAGCTATCCAGCTAATCCTTCTCCAATTAACTCACCATTGGTCGTATAGGCTCGTTTTGATTAGTGCCGATTACGCATGTTCGCTCTCAAATAGTGATCGTAATGATCTCACGATCGGAGGTAAAGGGTCAATCGCATTTCTCCTAGTAGTAGCTAGCTATTAATTATTGAGGCCTTACAACAAGTGCGACTCAATAGCAGTTGAGAATCGTTTAATCTGTTGTCTATCCTTCAACGAGCACCTCAAAGATGGCAACGGCAACAGCCGAAAACGAGGTCCCCGACAAGCAAGCCAATATCATTGACAATGAGGCCCTCAAATTCCTAATCGAGCTAACGAAAGTACAGGGGATCGAGACTACCGAAACACAGTTGGTCGATGGAAAACAGGAAGAAGTAGTAGTCTGGAAGTACCCTGAGGAGAAAGTTGCACAGTTGGATGATCTGCATGAAAAACATGGAGTGGTTTTCAACTTCGCACGCCACGGCGCAGATCTCTAGCCCGTGGACAAGAGAAAATGGGTTATCGACACGATCAGAAAGGAGCCGCGGTTCAAACATATAGGGGAGACGTTCTCCTTACAAAGCCTGGGACGTAATAACATCATGGTCCTGTTCATCAATGAGGAGCATGCAAAGATAGCAACGGAAATGCAATCCAGGAATTGCCATGRCTCGGTCTGCACAATTACRAAATGGAMGAAACTGTCAGCCCAAAGGCAGACCCCGGCCTTTGCAATCTCCTACAAACAGACCCTGATGAAGGAAAATTTCTGGGTTCAGTTCGATAACATTCAGCCGGGCTTTCACGGCCTGCTGGTCGACAGGCTTGAGAGACAATACCAGGCCAATAGAATTCTGAAGTGGATCCTCCCCACGCCAGATTTCCTGGCTCCACATTGCGGATCTATGACTGCGATCCTGGATGTGCAAACGGACGACCCTCCAGTATTTCCACAGACATGAAACCTGCAGATCGAAAGCAGAGTGGTTGAGGTGAGAATCTCTACACGCACATCACCAATATGCTTTCGCTGCAGGGAGCGAGGTCATCTGGGCACGGACCCCGCTTGTCCGAAATTTCTGAAACAACCAAAGGATAGGAAACTGTCGCCCAACATGCTGCTAGAAGTGGAAGATGCCCCCGGTACCTGGTTCGTGGCGGACCCAACCTATGACGGCTGGGTCTTCGACGACAACCTCGACGAGCCGGACTGGGTCTGGCACTTTACAGACCTAACTCCTACCACCAAGAAACCAGACATCTTCCCTCCGGCGGACAGCAGGTGGCAAAAGAAGGCCACCGGAAAGGTAAGAGGCAATCCGACAAAGATCAACACTATGCCGCTTACCGACTCTAGGGTGATCAGGGAAGAGAAAGCAAGGGAAGACTTACTGACGGACTTGGTCACAATTAGAGAGCAGATAGAAGAGGAATACAGCAAGAACCTAGATTCTTTCAAGGAGGCACTGAAACAAGCAGAATTACAAACTTACAAAAGAAGGGTTAAAGCCCAACCAGACAATAAACGCCAATTACACGAAGGGGGCAAGGCTAGGGAGAAAGAATCGGGCCCGAAAAGAAGAAGGGCCGAGGGATCAGCAGGGGAACGGGACAACAACAAGTCGGGAGCGGATAACGAGGGTGAGGGAATGGACTTTGATGCGGCTGGGGAACAAGCGGATGACGAAGCAGATCCCAAGCCGGAGTCCGGCCCCGCGGAGGAGGATGAGCATGAGCGGGAGGAGCAGTCCCTAGCGTGGATAAGACATTATTTGGAGAAAGCGAAAAGGGAGAGGGAACACGCTTTCGATGTCTGCGTAGCATGTTTAAGACATGCGGAACGATCCCAAGCGAATGGGAAGAAGAATGTAATTGCTGGAATCAGTAGTTCACCCAATCAGTTCGCAGCCCTCCTGAAAGTTAAGGCGGATGAGTTCTCCGAGTATGCAGCCTTCAGGTATGCAGAAAAAAAGAGGGCAAGAGAACATGGAACGGAAGACAAAGATAAAACAATTCCCACAACCAAAGACATCTTCCAAGACCGACGCCCCAAGACGAGGAAGACAAGTAAGACCCAGAAAAAAAGGGAATCCAACGAAGAGCAAGGGGGGGGGGAAGATAAATCAGAGCAGGATCTGTTGGAAAAAGAAATTGCAGTTGTTCTGTCCCAAACAGAGAAACTGAAAAAATGGAACAGAGAATACGCCCCAGAATACACAACGATTGTGCAACTTGCAAAGGGGAAAGCACCCATGGTTGTGGAAGCAGCTAATGCAGCCCGCAGAACATTGAGGAACATCAGACCGCTCATCGCGGCCAGGTACGACCCCAAAGTGAGGGAATGGTTAGTGGCAACCGACGTAGCCTTCCAAATTCCACACTTTGTGGAAGGGGAAAACGTTGTTAAGGCCTTAAGAAACCATGTCACCTTCGAAGCCCCTCTGGGACTGTTTGAGACGGTGGCTTTAGAATCAAACATGGACAAGACCGAATCCCAAGAGGGCTCAGAGAGCGATCCCAAAACCAAGGAGCTAGCTGGCAGGAAGTCCCCGAGGGCCTTCTCACCCTTGATCGCCAAGATGCCGGAAGAGACGCAGCTGCATTCAGGGATGAGATGGAGACCATGGCGGACGGTGGCTAAAGTTCCATACAACATTCTGGCTGGCCTGGGAATGTCTGCGGAGTTGATGGCCACTTCAGTGGCTAGCATTATGGAGGCAGGGCAGCTAGATGGGGATGAAGATTTGGACATGAGAGCATATGCACTAGATGATGAGAGGTTTTACAGAAGTGAAGGATCAGAGGGTGACTCAAGGGACGGCGATGACGATTGGGAAAAGATGGACAGGCTGATCGATCTAAAAAAAAAGGGAAAGGGACAGGTGGACACTGAGGGGAGAGGAGGGGAGGAGCCGGGCAAGGTGACTTCGAAGGGGAGCTCCGACGCCGTGTTACAAGATGACAAAGGAGGGCAAGAGGAGAGAGAAGACAGCTTAGGGGCTAACGCATCCTCTCCCCCGCCCACCTAAGCAAATGAGCCACAAGCCTAGACAGACAACGGACTCAGCCTGGTGGGATCGATGGAGGGTTTTAGGAACAGAACGAATGAGGTAGGGAAACAGGTGGATTGAAGGAGTCAAGGTCTGGTCCTTAGGAGCTGAAATGTCAATGGACTTGGAAACATAAAGGAAAAGGAAGAGAAATGGAATGATATATGGGCCGGACTGTCACAAGGCAGCAGAAGGACTGCCGACGTAGTGATGTTCCAAGAAACCCATCTCTCCCTGTCAACTGACCACAACATAATACGCAGGTTCATTGCAAAGAAGTTAGGCGGCCTGGGTGACGAAGTTTGGGCGGCGGACCCAGATTCCAACACAAAGGGAACGGCCATCCTGATCCCCAAGGCCTCCCGCTTCTACCAAGCAGGCACGGTGATTGACAAGAGGGCGGACCAGAGGGAAGGGAGATGGTGCCTATTACACCTGAAGTGGAAAGAGGAAGAATTTGTACTCAACATCTACGCCCCAAACTCTCCTACGGAACGCGCAACGTTTATAAGACACTTAAGTCAATTGTTCCCCCCACTGACCCCGTGCATTATAGCGGGAGACTGGAATGCCACAATTGAGCCGGCAATAGACCGTATATCCCGATCTGCCAGTCTATCCAACTCAATGGAAGTTGTTCCAATCCAAGAACTGATGCTGAACCACGACTTGGTAGACCCCCTCAGGACGATGCATCCCGACTTAAGAGCCTTCACCTTGATCAAGAAAAATAACGCCAATCATACCGCCTTCTCCCGGATAGATTTCTTTCTAGTGTCAAAAGTACTGATGGGAGCCGCTAAGGAGGCAGAAATCCTTCCACTAGCACCATACCCGGGGCTAGATCACAAGCCGATTGAACTAGTCTTGTGCTTCAACCAAATGGTCAGGAGAGGGGCCAGCTTCCATAAGCTTAATAACTTCCTCCTATTAAGTCAGACCTTTCAAAGCGAAGTATGCGTTTGTTGGGAGGGTCAGAGACTCTCACGCCTAAGTAATGAACCACGATGGGAGTGGTTCCAGAAGAGCTACACAAATCTCTTAAAGGCGGTGGCCAAGGTCTCAAGGAAATTGGCCTCAATAAGGAAGCAAAGGAAACAAGCCCTAGAGTTCGCATTGAAAGTGGCTGAGACCAATCTGACCAATAATCCTGCCTCCCCATTGTATAACGAGGTTTTCGAGAAAACCTGTGAAGAATTAGCCATGTGGAGGTGGTGGGAATTGAAGGGACTACAAGTAAGAGCAAGAATGTGTGAATTTGAACTCAGTGATTCGATGATGAAACACTTCTTTGCTCGGATAAAAGCCAACTCGAGAGTCAGCGCAATAGAGGGGTTGAAATCTCTCTCTGAGCCAGAAGTAGTAAGATCAGACAGCGAAGGAATACTAGAAATAGCCAATAGCTTCTACAAGAAACTCTACCAATCTAAGACACCGGGACTACCGACGGTCCAAGTGAGAGAAGCGAGGCGGAAAATGCTACACTATCTCGAGCCAACTATTTCAACGGAACAAGCTGAGGAGCTAGACAAGCCTCTCTCGATGGAGGAGCTACACCAGGCACTCCTGACAATGAACAATAATAAAACCCCCGGAATCGATGGACTAACTAAGGAATTCTGGGAAAAATTCTGGCCTCTCATGGGGACTGACTTGCAGAACTTCTACACTGACAGTTAGTCTAGAGGAGGGCTGGGCAACTTACTCAGCAGCAGCGTAGTCACGCTGCTCTACAAAAAAGGGGAGAAGGAAGACATAAGGAACTATAGACCTATCTCACTGCTGACACTCCCGTATAAGATCTTAGCCAAGGCCTTGTCCAACCGGATCACAAAAATCACCAACAAATGCTTCCACATTGACCAAACAGGTTTCATCCCTGGATGTTACATCCTTGACAACGTAATGACACTCAATGAATCGGTAAGGAAAATCAACGCAGCCATCTTGTTTTTCGACTTTGAGAAAGCGTATGACCAAGTCAACTGGGATTTTATGGAGGAAAGCATGGAAAGAATGGGCGTTGGACCAAATTTCAGGAAGTGGGTCAGGATACTATACCGGGATGCGGTAGGCTGTGTGCAGGTAAACGGGTTTTTATCTGAATCCTACCCGATCTCCCGGTCAGTCCGCCAAGGGGACCCATTGGCCCCATCAATTTTTCTCTTCGTAATGGAAGCAATCGCCTCCTTCCTGTGCAAAGACCCCTCCATACAAAGACTGGCCAGCACAGAAGTGGGTACAGCCCACCAGGTGGACTTTCCCACAGCCATCACGTTTGCCGATGACCTGACGGTTCTGATCAGGGTTTCGGACTCCTCCTTCAGAACTTTAGCCAGAGCAATGGAGGCGTTCAAACTAGCTTCAGAAATGAGGATTAACTGGGGGAAAACGATGGGATGGTGGCTCTCCGACGACGAACCCCTCTCTCTTCAAGGAGAAGAGGCTGCCATGACATGGCAAACGCCTGCCACGCCTACCCGTTATCTAGGCATCTTGATGACAAGAGRCGGGTTGGCAGCTCAAATGGSACCCTCAGTGTTGACCAAACAGATCAATAAGATAGGGAGATGGGGCAATACGTTTACGTCCCTCTTTGGTCGGGCGCTGGTCCTTAACACGTCTGTCTTCTCAATGATGTGGTACATAGCTTCTATCTGGACAGTTCCCAACAGCTCGGTGAAGGAGTTGAACCGTAGAGCCAGGCTTTATCTGTGGACAGGCGACCCCCACAGAGAAAAATGCATCCCTAAGATAGCCTGGCACTACGTCACAAGGAGGCCTAGGAATGGAGGCCTGGGCCTCATTGACCCGGGGACAGAGACCAAAGCCTTGCAAATAAAATGGATCATTAAACTGCTGACAAAACCAGACACCGCTTGGAACAAGTTGGCGTTAGACAGCATCAGGGCGGTGGCCCCTACCCGCTCCCCAACCGACATGTCAGGACTGTTCTGGGTCATGAATAAGGAATGGAGGATAACAACGGGACACAGGAATCGGACTAGGAATAACATACCAGAAGATGCCCGACCTCCCTCCCCGTACTGGCCGGTGCTGCTTCGACTCTGGAGGAGAATTTGTCCCACCAAGATCAACAGATCGAAGTCGAAAGACGAAATACTCAGACAACCGCTATTTGGTAATGAATGGATAACAAACGAGGCCAACAATCCGATATATATGGAACAAAAATGGCTGTCATGGGTCAAGAATGGGATCTGGAAGATAGATCACTTGTGGAAGGAGAATAGAAAAGACTGGGCTACGGAACAAGAGGTTAATGCGCAACTGAAAGGATGCCACAGGAGAGAAACCAACTTGCAGTACCTAATTAGCCGCATCCCGCAAGAATGGAAGGACGTCCTTGCCAAGGACGAGCCGTGGAGAGCCGGGGACTGGGGCCTCTTGATCCAAGACACCCCTCCTACTAGAGCCTACCAATTTTCCCACATGCAGCGTGATTCACCCACCAATGCCGTCTTCCATTCCTTCCCGATATCCACCACGGGCTCAGATATGCCAGCCATCCATAATCGGGAAGTCGAATGCTCCACACTAGAGTTTTTTCTCCTTAGGAAGGTTAGGGTCATAGGCACATGGCCGAAGTCGATTTTTAGACCAGATACGGCTATCCGAGCCTTAGAATTTGACCCGGGAGAGTGGGCATGGACCTCAGGCAGCAATCGGAGTGTCAAGACGAAAACACCGGTTCAAGATTATACCGTTAAATTTGGGTACGGATTACTACTGAAGACCAAAGACCCAGATCCCTATCTTGAACAGATGGCGAAAGCTGGTGGGACAGGAAACCGACAAAATTCAACAGATCCCATGGAAAAAATATGCACAGATCAGACCAGTTAAGATCAGAAGTCTGCAGTGGTTGATAGCGTATGCTGCCTTACCAGTGAACCAGTGGCTGCACACTAGGCGTAAAGCTACTAATCCGGATAGCTCGGAGATATGTACAGTCTGCTCGGCAGGAGCGGTAGAGGACATAGTTCACTGCTTGGTGCACTGTGTGGAGGCGACAGATTACTGGGCGAGAGCCTCTTCCCTGTGGGACTCCCTCTTCTCTTCCCCCTTCCCTGAACAACCCATCCAACTACTCCTCCTCACTAACATCCCCACGATGACTCGGAGGGCGGAAACGATTTGGTTTGAACTCATCAGGAAGGCGACCCTATGGGTGATCTGGAAGGAGAGATGTAGCAGATCAATTGAAGGACTATCAAATCGAAGGGACAAGGTATGGAAAGAGTCCAAGTCGATTATCCAAGCAGAGATATTGTGCAGATGGAGGAGAATCAAGCTGAAATGGCCCGAGGACGAAGAGCAGCGAAAGAAAGTGAGATCGAATTTTAGCAGGAACTGGCTGATTAGCGGTAAGGTGGCCGAGATCCGGGAAGACCGGGTGAGCGGGAAGGACTGGCACAACTCAATTCCGGATAGGATTGTACGGCAACAGACACCAACGGAGGAAGCAACTACGACTTGAAGGGTTGGGGTCGAAGGGGGTTTCACCGGATTAGGTTGCAGGAGACCGCTTCCACAGGGTCTACCTGCCTTGTCACCTCAGCCGTTCGCCACAATCCAGCACGGGCCGCTTGTGGCTCTAGAGGAAGAAAGGRGAGYGAAACTGCGTAYGTCAGTAAGAACCGTCCGAGCCCACGGGAAGTGCCGCMGATTGAAGATCGAAAAATAAGGGAAGGAGGGCCGGGAATAAAGAGGGTGTAGAGTGGGGAGGGTCTCATAGAGAAGTGACGGCAGTATGAGGATACAGAGGGATCCGGTCGACACATCACTGGAAGGCGGAAGCAAGGGAGGAAAAGTTATTATTTAAGGCATCCAAACAAGGGCAGGGTTTAGGGTTTAGGGTTCAACAGAACTCAGAGGATGGGGGAGAGTAGCTGGAACTAAGGAAATCATAGCAAATAAGGGCGGGTTGGGGATGAGGGACAGCATGAGCGGGCAACAGCACGGGAGGAACTCTTTCTAGGTATAACAGATAAATCTGGCAGGACTGCAACAGTAGATCTGAGAGGGAGGAGCGACTCTGGGCAAGCTGACAGTCAATCCTCCACCCAACGTGGAGCAATCAATACTGTTCAGGGGTCCTCCGGCCAGACGGGAGGAAGCGTGAGTTGGTTGCTGTGATGTATCATACTTCGACTTCCCGGTGGAATAGGAACCGGACTGTCGCTCCCCAGAATGGACGGAGTCGGGACCATAAGGCCCTGTTTAGTGAAAAAAAAAAAAAAAAGAAAAAAAAAAAAAAAAGATAACGATAGAGGTGGTCATATTCTCGGAAACCGGATTTATCCTTATCTGAAAATCGAATCTCCATTCTATCTCGCAAATTTTTGAAAACCGAAATCTTGCGAAGCCTATCAGTATTTCGTTTTAGGCATATTAGAGAAGTTGTCATATTTTTGGAAACTGAATTTAGTTCTTTTCTGAAAATTGCATCTCTACTCTATTTCGCAAAAAAAAAAATTCAAGATCGCAATTTTGTGAAAGCCGAAACTTTGCGGAATCGGGCCTAGATCTCGCTCATAGTACTTTCTGACATACCTCACTCATAGCAGATTGACAGATGTACAAAAAAAAAAAAAAAGGGAAGTAGTCCTCTTTTATTTTTTTATTTTTTATCTGTTGATTAGGGCCGGGAGGAAAGTATTGTTGGGTTGGTTACCTACCTGCGTTTTCCCTCCCACCCACCTCTTTGCATGCATTCCGGTTCGGTACAGTGCCACTTCAGCAGTGCCATGTCAGCAACAGTGCCACGTCAGCAGTGCCATGTCAGTCACAGTGCCATGTCAGTCACAGTGCCAAGACAGCAGTGCCATGTCAGCAGTGCCACATCAGCAGTGCTGCATCAGCAACAGTGCCACGTCAGCAACAGTGCCACATCAGCAGTGCCACATCAGCAGTGCCACGTCAGCAGTGCCACGTCAGCAGTGCCACGTCAGCAACAGTGCCACGTAAGCAGTGCCACTGCAGGAGTGCCCCGCCACCATGACGGGGGCAGCTTTGGGCATGCCAGGCCAACTGGCCAACGAGTCCCTTGCTGACTACAAACAGCGATTCCAGACTCAGCTCACACTGATCGAGGCTGAGGAACAGCGCCAGCTGGCAGCCGAGGCTATCCGCCTACAGGCTGAAGCAGCGGCAACAGCCGAGAAGCAACGGCTTCAGGCCGAAGCAGACGCAGATGCCCAGGCTCGCCGAAAGGAATCCCAGGATCTGCTGCAGCGACACGAAGCAGCCAGCATCGAGAGACTCAAGTTCTGGCACTTTGAACCATCCGAGGGCCACGATGACGCAACACCGGAAGAGCAACACAAGGAGTTCTTCTCCAAACTCGTGACACGGTTGGTATACACTTGCAACTACCAACAGTCCGAGTTAGAGAAACAAAACCAGGAACTGCAGCAACAGTACCAGGACATGAAGAAACAGCACCGGGAGTTGGCGAGCCTCCGTTGGACAATGCAAAGCCACGAGGATGTTACATGGGCACTCAATGCCTGTTTACTGGACCTGGAGCAAGCTGCACCAGGACCAGATGCTGGTGTTTCCAGCAGTGCACCCTCTAACCGCCAACTGGAGGAATGCGTCGACCACGTCGTCGCAATGCTCGGGGACATCAGCACCTTCGCTGCGCCAACCACCATCAGCAGTAAGTTGGATACCTTGAAGACCGAGGTCCAGCAACTGCAGTTGCCTAACAAGGATGGCAACAGCACAACGCATTACAAGATGCCAACTTTCCAAATTGAGAAGTTCGATGACTACACGCATCAAGACCCAGTACTCTGGTGGGAAGGCTTTACGATGCAACTTCGGATTCTATTCGTCGCCAAGCACGCGCACATCGGCGCCCTGTTTCTTAACTCAAAGGGCGGATGCCAGATCTGGTTAACCCACTTAGCATCCACCCACGGCGTCGACGTCGCAGATCTGAAAGACAAGATCTCATGGGAAGAGTTAACACGGTTGTGGAAGAAGCGGTTCATCGTGGACGACACACCAGCACTCGCCATCAACCGTCTCTTCGGCATGACGCAAGGCAAGACAGCAACACATGACTGGCTCACGGAATGGCAGAAGATCGCGGCAACGCCCGACCTTGACTTGCCATTTTCGCATCTGCGCCGCGAGTTCTACAACCGGTCATGTGTTGCACTGAGCCTTGCACTGGGTGATCGCGAGCAATATGCTACCTTCGCTGAGATCATTGACAAGGCGAGGGAGATCATCAAGACAAACAGGGAAGTTGCACACGAGAGGTCAACGTGGCAGCCAACCTATGTGGAGAAGGTGAAAACTCGTCCACGACCGCAGCATGTCGTTGCAGTCCATTCGGACAACATTGTGGAAGACCCGACAGCCACCCAAGCGTCACGTGAGGGAGATCAGGTGGCTGCTTTCCAGCCGCGAAGCAACAACAAGTCCCGAGGAAACGGGAAGGCGAAAACCGCAACGCCGGCCGGAAACGGACAACCAGCACCATGGGTCAAGTTTAACTTGACCGAGGCCGAGTACAAGTACCGCGGTCGTTACGGCTGCTGCTATTGGTGCAACAACACCAAGCACAAGACCTCCCTCTGTCAGGATCAGGGCAAGGAGGATGTTTGGCCTCGCATCAACTCGGGAAACTGAGTTGCGCGGAAGGTGAGACGACTCCACCTCTCACTCCGCCAGATTCGGCCGCCTTGCTAGCGGCCTCCTACACATCTGGGGAGGATGCGAATGTCGTGAGTTCTCAGTATGCTTACGAGGACTATGCTGTCCACTTGGTCCCACCGTTGGACCAACCGCTCCACGTGCAACAATCTATCGCATGCACGGTTTCATCACCATCGGCAACTGATTCGGCAGCTTCGCCGCCATCTATCGTCGGGGATTCAACGTCATGGTCAAGACTTGAAGCGCTCGACCCGTTGACGTTTGCGGACTTCCAATGGATGACCGTTCCCCCGACCGGTCGATTGCCGAAACCGCATTGCAACGTGCTCATGGCACAATTGCGGGATTACTTGCACACTGCAGTACCGACTCCGTTGATGGACGCCGGAGTAGAGGCTGTCGACCTTCACGCCTACATTGCGAAGATCAACCGCGAGTTCAAGACACAACGGTACGATGACATCGACGCACCATTGTTGTATGTACGCATTCAGATCGGAGAGGCGACCTGCAGCGCTTTGATCGATTGCGGAGCATCTCACAACTACATCAGTCAGGACTTTATGGTACGCGTCGGCCTTGGCCCACACGTCCGGAGGAAGTCCCAGCCTACGCAAGTCACATTGGCAGACGGTCACACGCACAAGTCAATCGACCGGTGCATTGATGTGGTCCCCGTGTACTTTGCCCCGCATGCAAGCGAGGCGGTGTCCTTTGATATATTGGACACCAAATTCGACATGATCTTGGGCATGTCATGGCTGCGAAGCGAGGATCACCCGGTGAACTTCTACCACCGCACCGTTCACATTCATGATCCGAACAGAGTACTAGTCCCATGCACGGTGCCTCTTCCTCATCCTTCGATCAGTTGCCACGTGGTGTCCGCCGCAAGCATGCGAGCTTCCATCATCAGAGACGACATCGAGGAGATGGGGGTGTGTCTTCTCCACGCCCTCCCGCCCCATGACGCTTCATCGACGGACTCATCTTCGGATCCACGCATCACCGAGTTTCTCGACGTCTACAACGACGTGTTCGAAGGCCCGCACGGAGTAGTACCGGATCGGCCCATCCGCCACGAGATCATCCTCGAGGACGGGGCCGTACCTTCGCGTGGTTGCATTTACCGAATGAGCAAGGAAGAGTTAAGTGTGCTACGGGCACAACTCGACGACCTTCTGGAGAAAGGCTGGATTCGGCCTAGCTCATCGGCATACGGTGCTCTTGTTCTCTTCGTCCGGAAGAAGAACAAGGATTTGCGGTTGTGCATCGATTATCGCAAGCTCAACGAGCAAACGATCAGAAACGCCGGCCCTCTCCCACGCATCAACGACCTTCTCGAACGACTGGGCGGCGCCAAGTTCTTCTCCAAGCTTGACTTCAAGTCAGGATATCACCAACTCGAGATTCGCAAGGAGGACCGCTACAAGACCACGTTTAAGACGCGATATGGGCATTTTGAATGGCTGGTTATGCCATTTGGCCTTACGAATGCCCCGACCACTTTCCAAGCGGCTATGACAACGGAGTTCCGACACGTGCTGGATCGATATGTACTTATCTACCTCGACGACATCCTGGTGTACAGCCGGAGTTTGGACGAGTATGTGGAACACCCGCGCACTGTTTTGGAGCGGCTACGACAAGCTAAGTACAAAGCCAACCACGACAAGTGCGAATTTGCGCGGCAGGAGCTGGAGTACTTGGGACATTGTGTGACGCCGCAAGGCATCCGTCCGCTTGGGGACAAGATCGAGGCCCTACGAGTATGGCCCGAGCCCACCAACACCACGGACGTTCGTTCATTCATGGGATTGGCGGGCTACTATCAACGATTCATCACGGGATACTAAAGGATTGCTGCAACTATGACGAGATTACGCCAAAGCTGCCATTCGTATTCGATGACGACGCACTCCGTTCTTTCCAAGCACTTAAGACGGCTACGCTCATGGCACCCGTCCTTAGCATATATGACCCCACCCTCCCTACGAGAGTGACAACTGACGCTTCCGGATATGGCATTGGGGCAGTCTTGGAACAACACGACGGCGACGACTGGCACCCTGTGGAGTATTTCAGCCACAAAGTGCCTCCCATCAACTCGCTTGATGATGCAAGGAAGAAGGAGCTGCTCGCGTTYGTGATGGCTCTCAAGCGTTGGCGGCACTTCCTCCTTGGGCGTCGTAGGTTCACAAGGGTCACAGACAACAATCCATTGACCTACTACAAGACGCAGGATACGGTGAGCAGCACGATCGGACGATGGATGTACTTCATCTACCAATTAGACTTCACACCGAAACATCTTCCTGGCCTCTCCAATCGCACAGCAGATGCACTCTCGCGAAGACTTGATCTTTGCGCTATGACACATCATGCCTTCGCATTCGACGAGGAACTTCAGTGACACTTCATCCGAGGATATGAGTCTGATCCGGACTTCGCCACGTTATATGCACAGCTATCTTCGGATCACCCGCCGGCCAGCCACTATCGCATTGCTGACGGGTACTTGCTCCTCCACTCGAGAGGCAAGGACTTATTATGTGTCCCACGAGAGCGTCGTCTTCGGACTCGCCTTCTCAGGGAGTACCATGACTCGCGACTCGCCGGCCATTTCGGAGTCAACCGCACTATTGCACGGCTTCGACAACGATTCCGATGGCCCGACCTCATTACCGACGTCACTCGGTATTGCGACTCTTGCGAAGTTTGTCGACGAAGCAAGCCCCGCAACCGCAATCCCTCTGGCGAGTTACGCCCGATGCCTATCCCACAGGAACCCGGTCTCTCCATTGTTATGGACGTCATCGGTCCGTTCCCCCGCGACCGGCTCGGGCACGACGGCATCCTCACGGTTGTGGACCGGTTGAGTAAGTACGCGCGTTTTCTTCCTTGCAAGTACTACTTCCTGGGTCCCGAGCTGGCACGCCTCTTGCACACCGGCTGGATTTGTGGCCATGGTGTACCGGAAGACATAGTCACCGACCGCGACACTCGCTTCATGTCAGCATTTTGGACTGCTCTCATGCAAGAGTCCGGCACGAAGATGAAACCAAGTTCAGCTCGGCATCCACAGACGGACGGGCAAACGGAGTGGGCACATCAAACCGCTCAAATGATGCTTCGTACGCTCATCCGTCCGGACCAGAAAGATTGGGTTCACCGCCTCCCCGACATCGAGTTCGCCTACAACACTTCGGTGCACCCGGCGATCGGCGTGAATCCATTCGAGTTGCACCACGGTGGACGGAAAGGCCGTATCTTCGCCGACCTTCTCCTCCCACGACCAGCCGACATCGGCGCCGCTTGCTCTCCCGCTTTCGTCCGGAAGTACAGGGAATTGGTGGCTCAAGCCCGCGCGAATATGCAAAAGGCTCAAGTCCACATGCAGCAGCAAGCCAACAGGCGTCGCGTGCCATGTCCCATCCGCGCCGGTGATCTGGTTTGGGTCTCCGCGGAAGAGTTTGCACTRGAACAKGAYGTTTCACGCAAACTGCTTCCCAAGTGGTTTGGACCATGGCCCGTAACATCAGCCGCGGGCGATGAGCCCGATGGCCCTTCATTTGTGATCAACATCCCGGCGCATCTGACGGTCCATCCAGTCTTTCACGCCTCGAAGCTGGCAACATATACACCAGCTAAGAGCGACGACTTCCCAGGCCGACGATCGCAGGACCCTCCATCTATGGATGGTCATCAGGAGGTTGACCGCGTCATCACGGATCGCAAGTACGGCAACAAGCCTCGCCAGTACAAAGTTACATTCAGAGCATGCGATCCCGACGACACTCGGCGGATGTCAGGAACAGATTTAAAAGCATCCGCACCGCTGATCTACGCTCACTATGAGCGACAAAGGTTAGCTCAAGGACCTTCACGACCTGCCCCTCCCACCCGGACTGTGGTCCCTCCCTCAGACAGACAGCTTCGCCCTCGCAGGTAAGCTCGGTTCTTCAAGGAGGGGGGGGTGTGGCATACTGCATAGCCACACGGGCCTGCAGGGCCCGTCCCGCATTTCCAGCCTAAAAGCCTAGAAATAAGGGCTTACAAGCCCCTGTTGTTTCAGCCTGAAAGACTGAAAAATGAGGGCCTGCAGGCCCTATGTCGTTTCAGCCTAAAACAGGGCTTTTCAGCCCTGAGGCTTTTCAGCCTGAAACGGAGGGCCACTTTCGGGCCCTCATAAGATCGACCTACCCTAAGACTCGGGCACAAAAACAGGGTTTCGGGAACAGGCTATCTTTAGCCTGTTCCCACGACAGCCTCAAGCAGGAGCTGCAGCGGCAGCCCCTGACTCCCTGCGGCATTGGCAAGAGCAGCCTCCTGGACTGCCTCGCCCTGCAGTCAGGAGGCAGGCCGAGAAGCACATAGGGAGTTCCCATGCACTTCACGGGTAGGTAGTTGGACAGTAGGCACGAGTAGTCTTCAGGATTCGGCCGCAGCACTCAGGAGGAGCGCTGCAGTAGTCTTCAGCGCTAGCAGTAGTCTTCAGCGCTGGGCGCTGATAGCTGTAGGAGTAGTCTTCAGCGCAGGGCGCTAGTAGCTGGTAGTGGTAGTGTTGGAGAGAGATGGCTGGCGGAGGCCAGCGGTACTTACCTGTGGCACCATAGCTCCAGCTCCATCTTCGAGGCACCTGCATCAAGGCGCCATCTTCACAGGTTAGTACTGGACACAGAGAGAGAGAGAGAGTTCTTCTTCTTCCTCTTCTAAGTCCACCATTTCTTCTTCACCCTCTCACCACCTGACTTCTCAGTATCAGCAGACTACGACAGAGAGAGAGAGAGTTGTGACTTGAGACTTGACGACATGGGATCCAGACTCGACATTGGGATTCAGACATTTTGACGAGGGACTATTTGGGCCTGTGCCGAAGACTTGGTGTTGACGACATTCCCATCGTCCCTTCTTCTTCGTCTAACCCCCCTCTTCTTCGTCTGTGTATGGTTGGGGCTGGCGCATTCTTCCTGTGTGAGCTCCAGACCCCTTCACACCATGGAATGATGAGGATGATGTATGTTCGGGGCTGCATTGCAATATTGATTGTTCGGATCACTGGTATCTAAGTCTTCCGCTACGCTATCTTGTACTTTGTATTGAGAGGTCAGTTCTTGTTCTAGTCTGCACAGTTACAGTATGCAACAACCCCACTGGACGGCAGTGCTTGGCGCCAGGAAAACATCCGCCAGCCCAGAATCGTAGCCGTCGGGAATGGGCAAGTGAATAGGGACTCCACCGCCACAGCAATTTGTGGGACTTCCCAAGGTTCCTGTTACCCGATCAAGAAGACTTGCCTTTTCGGGCAAGTTTGCCTCCACCTTTTCAGCACACCAACCAATTCCCGTGCTTCCTTTCCGCACGGGGACTGGTCGGTGTGCTGAAAAAGTGGAGGTAGACAGAGTAGAAACAAAAATGCTTCCCTTTGCTGCCAGCAATGGAGTCCCAAAAAATGTCTTCCAAAGGCTTGCCGCCGTCCAGTGGGGTCCTACCCAAAGTTCTTGTGATTTCCCAACGTAATAGGAAGTCCCATTCCCCTTTCGCACATATAAGGCAAGCCAATGGTGGACTGGATGAGTTTCCCCCATTGGTATCCCTTGCTTCTGTTTTGAGAATGACGCCACTCGCCACGGTATAGCAATACCATAACTCAGAAGTCATGAAGTCACAAAGGAACGGGAAACTCATCAACTCTCTCACACCTGCTCCGTTTCGAACCCTCCACAAACACACTGTGAAACAGTATTGCTGTCATCATCATAGAGTAAAACAAATAACAGCAATTTCGTCAAAACGGACATTTTTTATTGAAAAGTTGAAAACTCATAAACTGGCCCGATTAAACCGCCAGTACTTGGCCCAGCTATTGATGCCGAGCCGAGATACCCCCTGCGCGCCAAGTTTTGCCGAGCCGCCGGGGCACTGTTTCCTTTTCATTTTGGCTGGCGCTTCCAGCCATTGTGGTTTGGTGCCCCGAAGCCCGCAACCGTTAACGGGAATCGCCCGCGGCCGATAGCTGGGCCAAGTACTGCTGGTTTAAGCCTTAAGGTCAATATTTCCAGCTCCTGAGGGTACGGCGTTCCGAAAACGTTGTACCCTCTGGATGCAAGCTAAGTCCAGATACATCCAGGGGGTATGGCATTTTCAGAACACCGTACCCCCTGGACTTCAGCTAAGTCCAGATACATCCAAATGGTCCGGCGTTTCAAGGACGCCAGACCCTCAAGAGCTTGAAATTTCCACCTAAATCAGGCCGATTTATGAGGTTTCAATTTCGTTCAAAAAATAAAATATGTCCATTTTGAACTTTTGACGAAATTGCTGTTAAATGAACATCAGTCGTAGCCGGCAGCCCATAGCAACCTATGTATATCACTCGTCGCCAGAAGCCCGCAGTAACATATGCAACATCGCTTGTAGCCAGAAGCCCGTAGCAACATTCGATAAGGCCAGTACTCGTATCAGAGCGTGACCTGCCCCACTACCCTTCAATCAAACTCCCCCGGCATACTCTCGAATGCAGAGCACTCAATGAGTGTGGGAGGAGTCGAACCAGCAGCATTCAGCCCTATATGCCATGCGAACAACCGATGTATCTGGAAAACCACTGGACTGAAAGTGGAAAATCACTGGAAACAGTCCCAGAATAGTCCATGGACAAGTTCCCGAAATCTGTCCCAAGATACCAATTCTGGCCTACGATAAGACCCTACACTGTTCCTTTTTTTTTTTTTTTTTTTTTTTTTTTAAACATCCAGTACCTGCAGGGGCCTCGACCCACTAGTGAAGCGTAAATCCGTGTGTGGCACTTTTTCAGCATTAAAAAAATGTCCAGAAATTGTTTTCGTCCATTTTTGTTTTAGGCGACGAACACCAAAAAAATGAAAATAAAGTAACCGGCAATTATGACTGCCATCCCTCATTATGACACCAGACCCAAAACGATGGAACGCATGTGACCCCGCTGGCCACCGCCCCGGATGAATTCGGGTGGACATTGTGGGCATGTGCGGCCGCTGCTCTCGGTATGTAACTGCAGCGCGTCCTTCGGGCTGTGTGCTAGGAACCCACAAGACAACACTGACACATCTCTTCGCGCCGTGTTTCGTGGCCACTCCGCACAAACGACGGCCGAAGGACTCCGAATCCCACATTTTTCTAATTTTTCAACGACAAAATAAGGAAAATCGAAGCTTCAAAATCACCCCATGGGTAAAAAAACACTGATTTTGAAGCTTCGCGCCAACGGAATGTGGCGAACAAAAACAGGCACGAAAGATTTTTAAAACTTCCTACTGGCCGGGTGCCATTACGACGGCCTTCCCCGACTGCAAAACATGACGGCAGTCGATGTGGATGGCGATCTGCGGCTGGCGTGAGTCACCCCAGGCCGCACGTGGTCGAAAGCCCAGCCGCGAAGCGTAACTCTTGACTAGTGGGTCGAGGCCCCAGGCCTCCGAATTTCAAGTACTAGCCTACTACCTGAAGTGTCAGGAGGCTGCGCCCACCGTCAATAAAATCCATCGGCGGCATTGGTACGTTACAGGCCTCCAGACTTCGTGCAGCGTTTTCGGTGCCAGTCGTGCTGCAGGTAGTGGTGGTTTAAGGGTCCAGTTTACCAGACCCAGTCCCAGTAACTCAGTCGAGTCATGGAACTGCCCTACTCCGTCTAGCACAAGGGGCATGGCCCAGGTCCCAACAAATGGATGTGTGTAGGCCCTTCCAGTTTGTCATTAATACCCTTGATTGCTATGTCAACAAGGGGTATCCCCTTGATCCATCAGAGGGCCCGTGGCAGTGGGTGTGAGTCTGACCCCCAAGGCTCAATTTGCCTCTTCTTTTGGTTTCCAAGAGACAGGAAGGGATCCAGAAGAGGGGGGGGGGGGGTCATTTTGGGATGTAGCTACCATCCTTCAGTCTTCGCTCCCCAGTTGACTTTCATAGCAGCAGCAATTTCAAGTAAGTGGACTGGCTGTGGTAATGTTCAATAACTTGAGACTGATATGAGTCTGAACCCCAAGGCTAGAATTGCCTCTTCTTTTGGTATCCAGAAGACTGACAGATCTACGCGGACGAGGAGGGAGGGGTGGGGGCGCATTATTCTGGGATGTAGCTACCATCCTTCGGTCTTCGTTCAGCAGCAATTTCAAATAGGTGGACTGAGTGTACTAACGCCCAAAAACTTGAGACTGGTATCAGTCTGACCCACAAGGCTCAAATTGCATCTTCTTTTGGTATCCAGGGGACTGACAGATCTACAAGGAGGGGGAGGGAAGACGCGAGGGGAGGGGAGGGGGTGTTTCACCTTGGGGACATAGCTACCATCCTTCAATTGTCGTTTCCCCAGTCGACTCTTATACCAGCAGCAATTTCAAACAGGTGTAGAGGGCGTGCTAATGCACGTAAACTTGAGACTGATACTCCCCAGGAAACACACACACACACACACACACACAAAAAAAAAAAAAAAAAAGAGCTCGCAAACTTGAGTGGTTCCCTTAAAAACAGAACAGTAAGATCATTACCGATGAGAGATGTCATCCCAATGAGGTCAAATTTTCCTAAAGTGGAAACGAAATCATTAGCGAAGGGAGATGTCATCCCCATGAGGTCAAAATTTCCTAAAATGGAAATGAAGCAGACAGATAACCAGGAACAAAGAATTCTAGCAAGGGGGAAAGTTGGGAAACTATGCCCCTGCTGGGCTGGACGCACAGACGAGACAAAAAATTGTAATTTTTTTTATTGCTTCAATATTTAATATTTTGAAACGGTTTTCACCTCTTTGCAGTAGCAGACGCAGATCCCAGGGTTCGATCCCTAGACCTTGCCCCATCTGTGTACAGTACCCGTGTAGACCCCGAGAGTTGAACCGGTGACCTGTGTATTCGTAAACAGTTGATAGGCTGTCATAGGTCCGTAGGTAGCAGGGGTTCGATCTGTAGACCTGTAGGATAGAAGTCTTAGCGAGCCCCAAGCTGTAGTCCTTCTAGAAGGTCGGCAAGTGGTCAAGTGGTGAGACAAGTGGCCAAGTGGTGAGGCAAGCGGTGAACTAAACCGCAGTGCGATTGCAGTACGAGTCCGGTGGGATAGCAGTGAGTCCCCAGTCAGTCAGCGGTAAGGTCCAGTCAGTCCCAGTCAAGTCCAGCAAGTACCACAAGGGACTGTGAGCAGCATGGGCCGATGGCAAAGGGCAGACCAACGAGTTTCAGGAGTATAAATCAAGAGGCAGCGCCCAGCCATTCGTTCATGCCTGCGTGAGCCATGCGGAAGCGCTGCCACAGCGACTTGTGCAAGGAGGTCTGCAGAGAGCCCGGAGCTGAAGTGGGCGAGAGAGAGGAGCGTAGCATAGCGATAGGGTAGAGGCAGCCATAGCTGCCATACCTGTGGCTTAGTGTGACGTGTGTGTGTGTATGTGTGAGTGTTCAGAGTGAAGCGTGTGGGATATCCAGGGTGATCCGGTGTATGTGAACAGTGAGTTGTTTGGGCGCTGAGTCGCCATAGCCAGTTGAAAGTGAACTCTTATCTGGATGCCATATCTCTGAGTTTTGAGTGGGCGCATGTCACCAGTTTGCGGCGCTACTGTTTACATGCATGAAAAGTGTGGATGAGAACGAGTCTGATTTCATTGGTATCGGAGCTGGTACCCGCTATTCCATGCGCGCCGTCGTGTGCAGGGCCTGATGCGCCATAGCAGAGGTGGCCACCGAAGGCTGTAGTCCGCCATATCGGGCCTGAGGTTGGAGAAGCCGCCGCGCACCTGCAGAAGAAGACCACAACGAAGAAGAAGAAGACCGGGAGAGAGAGAGAGAGAGAGAGAGAGAGAGAGAGAGAGAGAGAGAGAGAGAGAGAGAGAGAGAGAGAGAGAGAGAGA